TAGGTCTTCTCACGAGCCTCCTCCACCCAGGATTGTCTCGCAAAGAGACATCTCCAGGAAAACGAGCTAGGTGCTCATATAGCCTGACGTAGCGATTCCGGATTATGCAAGTAACAGGTTCCATTCTAGTCTCACGGTGTAGCCGTCGATTGGACACGTGGTCCTGCCAACTGTACCACATGATCCGGTAAAGAAACTTGTTACAAAATGCATCAAGACGAAACTCCAAGGCACTAGATAGTGTCCAGAATTAGCATCCATAGAGCAAAACTGGCAGTATCAAAGCCCTAAAGACACGCAGCTTGGTCCTTCTGCATAGGTACCGACATCTCCAAATGCTCTTGTTGATCGAGTTCATGGCTCCTGCTGCCAGACCAATCCGTCTTCTGACTTCTTGGTCTGACCGCCCAGTGACATGGACTACACTACCAAGGTATGCAAAGCTCTCTGTGATTTCAACGTCCTCACCGCAAGCATGGATCGACTGAACGGGTTCCTCTAACAGGCCCCCAAAGTCCTGAATCTTAGCCTTGTGTGTGTGTGTGTGTGTGTGTACATATACATATAGACACACACACACCTGTGCCTGCGTGTGTGTGTGTGTGTGTAAATTGATAGGAAAACGCTTTTCAAAGATCCTATTGAAAGCAATGGTTGTATGACTTGTTTAGCACCGAATAAGGGGTGGTCACATGAAGCCTAAAAGTTGTCCGGTTTGTATGTCTGTTTGCTTGTTTCTTTGTTTAGCTGTTGTGATTTGCCTAATTTGGGGAAATATTTCTCTATAGAAGCAATTCAGTGTACATACTGTAAAATTATATCACATACATAGTTCTTTTTTCAAATTGTTGTTTGTGTTTGTATTTTACTAGGACAAGAACTAAATTTGCATCATTCTAAATACCTGTACGTCTTTTCTGTAACCACAGTAAGGCCGGTCACACACGTGCAGTTTTAACTGACAGTTATAATTGAACAATTATAACTGACACAGTTTAAAATGACGTCATTTAAAAATGAAATGCACACACACAATCACTCAGTTTTTACCATGCATTCCGAGGGGAACGATCATGCTGCTCTCGGTGTATTATTTGTAATACTACAAACAAATAGAAAAAAAGAAAACTAAAAAGCGTAAACAGTGGTGCAAAAACTGGTTACAAAGGCGAAATCAATGTTCTGATATTAAATTATTTAAATTATTTAGATTAAATTATTTAAATCATTCTGATATTAAGTTATTTATTAAATTATAATATCAAATCTCAACAAACTGCACTCACCGCTACCACCTGTAGAAATGAGAAGCTGAGAACTGTACAGTTGCGAATCCCCACACACGCTCAGTTCAGTTACTCCTTTTAGTTAAAAATATGGAGCATTGTATTTGTCTCAGTTTAACTGTACAGTTTTGTTGAACTGACGAAATGAGCAACTGAGATACCCATACACGTTCAGTTTTAACTGACAGTTATAATTGAACAATTATAACTGACACAGTTTAAAATGACGTCATTTAAAAATGAAATGCACACACACAATCACTCAGTTTTTACCATGCATTCCGAGGGGAACGATCATGCTGCTCTCGGTGTATTATTTGTAATACTACAAACAAATAGAAAAAAAGAAAACTAAAAAGCGTAAACAGTGGTGCAAAAACTGGTTACAAAGGCGAAATCAATGTTCTGATATTAAATTATTTAAATTATTTAGATTAAATTATTTAAATTATTTAGATTAAATTATTTAAATTATTTAGATTAAATTATTTAAATTATTTAGATTAAATTATTTAAATTATTTAGATTAAATTATTTAAATTATTTAGATTAAATTATTTAAATTATTTAGATTAAATTATTTAAATTATTTAGATTAAATTATTTAAATTATTTAGATTAAATTAAATAAGTTATTTATTAAATTATAATATCAAATCTCAACAAACTGCACTCACCGCTACCACCTGTAGAAATGAGAAGCTGAGGACTGTACAGTTGCGAATCCCCACACACGCTCAGTTCAGTTACTCCTTTCAGTTAAAAATATGGAGCATTGTATTTGTCTCAGTTTAAGTATACAGTCTTGTTGAACTGACGATATGAGCAAATGAGATACCCACACACGGTCAGTTTTAAGTGACAGTTATAATTGAACAATTATAACTGACACAGTTTAAAATGACGTCATTTAAAAATGAAATGCACACACACAATCACTCAGTTTTTTACCATGCATTCCGAGGGGAACGATCATGCTGCTCTCGGTGTATTATTTGTAATTCTACAAACAAATAGAAAAAAGAAAACCAAAAAGCGTAAACAGTGGTGCAAAAACTGGTTACAAAGGCGAAATCAATGTTCTGATATTAAATTATTTAAATTATTTAGATTAAATTATTTAAATTATTTAGATTAAATTATTTAAATTATTTAGATTAAATTATTTAAATTATTTAGATTAAATTATTTAAATTATTTAGATTAAATTATTTAAATTATTTAGAAATTTTAAATTATTTAGATTAATTATTTAAAATCATTCTGATATTAAGTTATTTATTAAATTATAATATCAAATCTCAACAAACTGCACTCACCGCTACCACCTGTAGAAATGAGAAGCTGAGGACTGTACAGTTGCGAATCCCCACACACGCTCAGTTCAGTTACTCCTTTCAGTTAAAAATATGGAGCATTGTATTTGTCTCAGTTTAACTGTACAGTTTTGTTGAACTGACGAAATGAGCAACTGAGATACCCATACACGTTCAGTTTTAACTGACAGTTATAATTGAACAATTATAACTGACACAGTTTAAAATGACGTCATTTAAAAATGAAATGCACACACACAATCACTCAGTTTTTACCATGCATTCCGAGGGGAACGATCATGCTGCTCTCGGTGTATTATTTGTAATACTACAAACAAATAGAAAAAAAGAAAACTAAAAAGCGTAAACAGTGGTGCAAAAACTGGTTACAAAGGCGAAATCAATGTTCTGATATTAAATTATTTAAATTATTTAGATTAAATTAATTTAAAGTCATTCTGATTTAAATTTTATTAGATTATCAAATCTCAACAAACTGCCTCACCGCTACCACCTGTAGGATGAGAAGCTGAGGGAACTGTACAGTTGCGAATCACCCACACACGCTCACAGTTCAGTTACTCCTTTCAGTTAAAAATATGGAGGCATTTGTATTTTGTCTCAGTTTAACTGTACAGTTTTGTTGAACTGACGAAATGAGCAACTGAGATACCCATACACGTTCAGTTTTAACTGACAGTTATAACTCAGTTAAAACTGCACGTGTTGGCCGGCCTAATTTAATAAATAACTTAATATCAGAATAATTTAAATCATTTAATAATTTAAATCATTTAATAGCAGAACATTGATTTCGCCTTTGTAACCAGTTTTTGCACCACTGTTTACGCTTTTTAGTTTTCTTTTTTCTATTTGTTTGTAGCATTACAAAGAATACACCGAGAGCGGCAAGATCGTACTCCTCGGAATCCATGGTAAAAAGTGATTATGTGTGTGCATTTCATTTTTAACTAACGTCAGTTTAAACTGTGTTAGTTATAACTGTCAGTTAAAACTGCACGTGTGTGGCCGGCCTAACGCAGCAATGGTATTCGAGGAAATAACCAGCGAACAGAAATTTTCACGTTTTTTTTTTTTTTTTTTTTTTTTTTTTTTTGGGGGGGGGGCGAGAAACTAAAGGAGAAAACGATTGAGGGCGGCCTCTCCAATTACCAGCATTTTCAACAATTTTGTCTAATTTTTGACGGTTCTTTGCCATGTTATTAAACCGGTACCTTATAGTACTAGCATGCCGTGTTACAACAAAGTGTAAATAAAATAAGACGAAATAACAGATATACCGTAGAATATTGTCGAAATTAAACAAGATTCACAAACCATATAATTTTAGTCGTGAGTGATAAAGCAACTGTTCTTTCTTTCGATCTTTCTTTCTGTTTTCTTATAGCTAACTGCCTCTTATCTACATTTTTCTTCAAGTTTTATAAATCATGTTTTCAATGGCTGAAGACTTGAATTATGCTGGAACTGTTGCCGATCCTCGTGTTCTCATTAAACAATTAAGTAAAAATGGTATATAAAAATTGTTGCAATTTTTATTTACAGTGACCATTTCCATAAATATAGCATCGATTATCTCCAGGCATTGGTAAATGTTGGTAAAAATCGTAAACATTCCATCGTCGCTACTCTAGAATGCTTCAGATAAATTCAGAAACCAACATTACTACTATGCTTACTACTTATATGAGCTGTTTTTTTATCATTAGACGCTGTGCAAGGTCCATGCTACATGGCACGTATTGTTTCAAAATACCACAGAAGGTGCAAAGCAATATATTACACACCAGTACGCTTGTTGACATTACTATACATTTGTTTATAAATTGCCTCACGTGTCAAGGCTTTCTCGAGAGACCGGTGCAAGGGAGCTTCATGACCGGACGCATTACGCTGCGTCAGAGTGGAAAGGCCGCACTTTCTCCGCTCCTCGCAGAAAGTCGAACCTTGCCGCTACGCGATATTTCTCGGTAAAGAAGGTAGAGATGGCGTTAGTGTCGCCGACAACCTATGCCACATCACCACATAATGCACATTTTTTACGGCAATTGTTAATATATTTTTAACGTTATGCAAACTATAAATCATAAATACATGGAAAGACTATCGTCCGAGGGAAAAACAACGGTTTTATGTTAATTCTAGTCCATGTGCACATTTCTGGTGAAAACTCATCTGTTTGTAGTCCAGGTACGCGTCCGAAACCAATGGCTAAACTATCCACATCACCTTTAATAAAATCTCACCCGAGACACACACGTGGAAAATACCCTCATACTATAGTATAATAAATACAATTTAAGCGCATATACAGCAAAAGCCACGGGGCAGCGAGAGGCGGGATTTGTTCTCGTTGTTCGGGTAGCTGGCAGCAGGCCTGTCAGCCGGCGTGGTCACGTGACCATTCCTTCCGTCAGGCCAAAGTTGACAACATGGCTGCGTCTCATCCAACACAAGTGTGCCGAGGCATCGTTAAACAGGTTAGGAGAGGGAAATAAGTGCGTGTAAATAAGAAAATTAAGATTAAACCATTTGGACGCAAAATCGTTGCGTTTAGCCCAGTGACAAGTAGGCGATGGAGTTAGAGGAGTGTGTCATCGGTCCATGACCCCGTGTGCCAGATGGGCCTCAATGACCGACCGGAAAGTTGCTTTTGGGCCGGAAATTGGGCTTTTTTGGAGTATCAGATGTCAGTTACACCTGTGGAATGCCACCAAATCTCCATTTCTGAGGCTGTGATGATTGTTTAGAGTCGGTCAAGAGATGTACGGAGAAGTCGGGTTTTGTTTCGTTATTTCCAAAGCACGAGGCATGTTACACATTCTGATATTGAACGATTTTCATCAGTAAGTGGGAGGACGACGTAATTTCAGATCGTAAATAAACCATGCACAATTTAAAAAACCCTTTTATGCATCATGGGAGGAATTGTTTTGTTTATCCATATGGCATAAGAGTCGGGAAGTGTGGACCTCCGGGCTCAAGTCCTTTGTGAATTTCCACACGTTTATCTCGGCGGAAATAATGTCGGAATTATGGGGAACTGTTTTGGGATTTCTATACTTGACAGGTCAGTTTTACATGTAATCTTTGACTCATGACTTCATTTTTGTTTGTCAGTGTTAGATTCTAACACTTACTAAGATTATCCAGATGGAATAAAAGCTTTTGCTAATAATTTACTAATTTTATTTTATTCTATTTATTTCCTAGTTCATTAGGCAAAACATTATTGATTGCATTATTGCTAAGCATGTGATTGCAATTGCTTGCACATGTAGGTCATAATGGAAATTATAGTTTTAAAGGTAAAATTCATTAGATATTCAAAGTGCACCAATTTTTTTATTTTGTATGCAAATGCTGCTAAGAGATGGTTTCTCTTAAATATTATGAATTATATGATCCCTTGACTTTTCAGCACATATTTTAGCAACATATGTAACCATTTCACATGCATCATCAAGAAGTCATAACCTTTATACATTAGTGATTAGGTAATACCCATTCTAATATTTTCTAGGGCTAATTAAATTTTTTGGACAATATGTAGTATAAGGTAGTGACAGAGTTGGGTAATAAAACCTTCATGAAATATATACCATGGTGTTAGGTTAGTTGGATGTTGGGTTAGGTCGCCCATTTGCACAAGGAACAGCAGTTGATTTCATGCAGAAAAATATCAAAATTGTTTCAAAAGTAATCCATCCTCTTCCCTGTTTTTTTTACGTATAGCACCCTTGGGAAGCATTTGCAGACACATTGCCATAGAATAACTTTGTCTTGGTTTGTAATGTTCTATCATTTCATGTAGGTTTTATTACCTAACTCTACCACTACCTTATACTACATATTGACCAATTTTTTGCTGATCTTGCTATGTTTTTATCTGCATATCCTGGAAGGTTTGTTGGCTCCTTTACACCAAAAGTTTTGAAGATATGGTATTTCTCACCAAGAGTCCCAAAACCAGGGAATCATGCAAACCCGAAAATTCAAACCTAACCTTTCCTACCTTCTATTTATTCATGTTGGGGGGGGAATCCCCATATACCCCCAGTAATCCCCCCCTTGCATAGAACTTGACATCAAGAACTCTGGCTTTATGAGTGTGTTGCGGACTTGCAACAAAATAAAACAGACAGTATGTCACACCAAGAATATCCATTGTAACAAATGGAATCAAACTAAATTATTAAACTAAACTAAACTCTAAGCAGTGATATGCAGCAGATGTATTCAGCAATTTGCTGTATATATGTGGCTGGAGCAGCTGTACCCATGTTTTTTCTTACTCTTATTTCTTATGCTCTATAAGATGAGTGTCCATTTCCCTCTATCTCTGTGCATCTGTCTCGTAACATTAAACAAAGATACCTATGTATCTAGGGACTGTAAAAAATGTCCGGTTTGGACAGTGATCCAGTTTGGAGAGGGTGGGCTTTTAACACAGGCCGCCTATTGAAATGGGAAGGGACTGAGAATATCGTCCGGAATGGACAGTGATCCGGTTTTCTCAGGTTTTACTGTACAACATGACCATACATGCCCCCAGAAAATGGGACTGGCACGTCACGTCATGTATGCACATGCCACCCAGAATATAGTCTAGGCATCCAATGGCATGTACATGCATGCCACTCACTGGCAACAGGTCGATATTAAAGAGTGACACACAGAGATAGAAGAAATGGACACTGCCATCTCATAGAGCATAGAAAAATAGAGTAATAAATAACACGGTTACAGCTGCAGCAGCCTTGTATTTACAGCAAAATGACATCATCCGCTGCATATCACCACTCAGTCCACAACACCCACATGCAGCTAGAGTTCTTAATATTATCATGTGTTCTTTAGTTAGGCATAAAGTACTA